CCTCGCAAGCACAACAACCCAAATTCGATTGCTGGCACCAAAAAAAAAAAAAAAAAATTTACACGATCTATATGAACTCGGGAAATACTCTGATGGAAAGGAAGGAGTTTACATATCTGTCCTCCCACCCTCCTTTTTTAGTAGTCATCAGAAAAATTCTGAATGTTCCAGATGTGAAAAGATTCATTGATATGTTTTGAAGCTCACGTGAAAGCATCACTTTATTACATTTTGCAGCTTTCTTCTGTTTGATAACTTATTTTTAAAAAATATATGGATATTTTACATTTGAAAGAAGCTAAGGGATTTAAGCAGCCTCCTAAAAACTTCCTTGGTTTCTCCATGTGAGCCACTGTGTACATGGGGAAATCCCACAACTCCCTGTTGATGTGTCCCCACAAAAAGTATATGCAGTGTGCTATGTAGAAACTTAGTTTTTTCAGTATATTTGACATCCAGACAGATCTCATCATATTGCCATGTGGCTTCCACATAACTGACCAATATTTATTGATTACTTGCTATACCAAGGCATTGTGCAGTATACTCTAGAGACACAGAGAATGAGCAAGATACAGCCCCAGGAAGTTTGTAGTAAGGAAAAATAAATTACTGATGTTAGCAGCAGAATCCTTAAAGCAGTGAGAAACCTATGGCATGCTTGCCGCAGTAGGCTGTTTCTATTATTGAAACCTCTAAAAGGTTCCATTTAAGTCTATCACTGCCTTAAAATATATAATTTATGCTTATAGTAAAAAATTGCTATCTATTTACACACTGGCCAGTCTTGCCAATCTTCAGCTCTGGTACTATTGAAAGAAAAAATATTTTGAATTTGATTTATCTTCAAAATCAACCAGTGTCAAGACTCTGCACTTAATGTAGTTTTCTTTTCATGCATATTCAAAAACCAAGTTGAGTCAAATGGTAAAAAATGATGATGCTTGAATTGGATCATAATGATGTTTCATTTTAGAGAGGTACAAAAATCCTGAGTTGATTAACAAAATATAATTCTGTGATGACACTGGCTTTATTCAGTCTGTTTTTTACCAAAACATAGTTATTCACTTAAAGAATTTCCTTTTGCTTAATATATTTTTTCTTTTGCAGGAGTTTATTTTATCTGAAGACTATAACAAGATGACTCCTGTGAAAAGCTATCAAGGTAGGGAGTGACAGTAGGGTTTTTATTGCTCAGACTTCAAAGTATTTTTTGATAGGTCGGGTGTGGTGGTGCATTCTTGTAATCTCAGCACTTGAGAGGCTGAGGCAGAAGGATTTGCTGTGAGTTTGAGGCCAGCCTGGGGTACAGAGTGAGTGCAAGGCCAACCTAAACTATACAGCGAGACCCTGTCTCAAAAAAAAAAAACCCAAAATTTCTTGATGGCATTCATGCCACAAGAGAATATTTACTTTACATACTCAGGGGAACAAAGTAGAGCCACATTTGAAGTCAATATTATTCCAGTTTGTGAATTAAGTTTCTGAAGCCTGAGAAATTTGGGTGACTAGCTTGTGGTCTTGTAGCTGGTCCCATGCAGTGTAGAGTCAGACCATGTTGATGTGACTCCTAGGCTGTGACCTTTTGTCTTTTGACATCACACTCCTGATGGTGTCAACACACTAGACTCAGTATTCAGGCCATGTCATGCTGCTTCGCATGGGGCTTATTTCATATTTGGCTAAGTACTCAAGAGAATGAATGTTTTCAAGGGGAAAGAATTACAGTTTTTATTGTGCCTTCAACATTGGCATGTTAGCCATGTTCATATGTAGAGCAGGAGCAGTGTTTTGAAGTCTTTCCTTTATCCAGACATGTCATGGAATGAAAACATTAGACCTTTTAGATCCAGAAGTCAGCCTGGCAAGGTGTCACATACTTGTAATCCAGACCTTTTAGGTTCAGAAGTCAGCCTGGCAAGGTCGCACATACTTGTAATCCTAGCTATTTGGGAGGCTGAGACGGAAGGATTGCAGTTTTGCGGCCAGTCTTATAAACTTAGTGAGACCCTGTCTCAAAATAAAATTTTAAAAGGCAATGGGTTTCTGGCTCAGTAGTCTCCAGTGCCACAAGAAAAGGAAAAGGAGACCTGGAAGTATTTCATCCAGTTCTCTTGACCTCATTCATCCTCTGATTATCCAGCATCTCTTTTAATACCTCCAGAAATACAGCAAGTTATTCTGAATTTTGAAAACTCCTAAGAATTAAGTTTTTATTTTTCAAAAATTGGGGCTAAAATTCATCTCTTATGTTGTTATTTTTTTAATTTTTTCACATATCACTCATCAAGTATTTATTGAGTACCCACTGTGTTGCAGTAACTCGTAACTCTGATTGTAATAGTGGGGAAAACATGAACTGTATCTGTCTATAAGTAGTTTATAATTATGTGGAGGATACAGGCAGGTAAGCAGTTCATTAAACTGCTGTATGATAAGTAGTAGAATGTTCCCGTCTTGGTCTTTGCTCAGCCTGTTAAAGCTACAAAAACTAAGTACAGTCTGTTCACATGACAGCCTTTCAGTTATTTTAAAACAGCCATGAAAGTTCTCATTCCTGTCCTTCTTTCTCCTCGTTTAGTCGTCTTTTTTCCTTTCCTTTTTCAGTCTAAACATTTTATATCTAGACTTCTGCTGTTCATGACCTGTGCTTTAGTTCTTTAAAAATGTTTTAATTGTCTTGGTCACAGATTTGGGTATCATATTGTACCTTTATGACTATGTAAAAATATGACATAGTATGGCAGATAGTTCCTAATGATCATCACTTCCTGATATTCACACTCCTCCCCTTGAGTATAAACTAGACCTACAATTTGACACGTGATAGTGATAATTCAAGGTTATAGAGGACCAGGGCATCTTTCCTGCTTATCCTTTCCTGCTCTCCATTTTTTTTTGGTACCTGGGATCCAACTCGGGGCCTTGAGATTTCAAGTCAGGTGACGGAACCACTGAGCTAAATCCCTGGCCCATCTCCTGCTCTCTTGGCGGAAGGCAGCTGCCATGTTGTGAGCTGCATGGTGGAGAAGCCTCTGTGCTGAGGAACTGAGGGAGGGTTCAACAGCCACTGAGGACTAATGCCTGCAGTTCAGCAGCCACTGAGTAGCTGACCCACTCATCAGCTGTGTAAGAAAGCTTAGGAACAGACCTACCTTCTGCTAAGCTTTCACACGAGACTACAGCTCCACCCCACACCTCAGATTCGTCTTGTGACAGAACTTAAGCAGAGGTACCCAGCTAAGCTGCACCAAGATTTCTGACCCACAGAAACTCTGAAATGTTTTGTTTGCCCATTAAGTTTTGGAATAACTTGTTACACAGCAATAGATTACTAATATGTGCATATAATCAGATAAGCACAAAATCACATTCTCTTCCTCTCCTCTCTTGTACACTGTTATTGTAACATAAAGGGTGAACTTTTTGGCAGCTACTTTATACCATGGGCACATGTGGCACAGTCAGCTCCTCAGAAGTTCTCTCGAGTTGTTTTTAAGCTGTATCCCAAATAAACTTTTGTGGTTTTTTTGGTACCGGGGATCGAACTCGGGTCCTTGCACTTGCGAGGCAGGTGGCGGAACCACTGAGCTAAATCCCCGGCCTCCAAATATACTTTTGAAAGTATATTTTGCTTTTATTTTTGTTTTTGCTGTAAATGCTGGACTTTACAGTCATTATTCATCATTTCATTTTCTTTAGCCTGTCGGGATATTTTGTATTGCGAGTAGTTATTAAGTATATTCATTCCTACTTCATTCTGTGTTTTTCTTTTTTTTTTTGTTCATTAATTTTATTGGTACATTTTAGGTATACAATATAATGACATTCATCATTGGAAATTTGTACCTTTACATGATATATCTTGGTTCTTAGTTTTTTCCCTATTCCCCTGCCCTCCCTTCAACCCCTCCGCCTTTCCCTGTTTAGAAAGACTTTGTTTCCATTTTTTCCTTTTCTCATATTTATTCTTTTCCCTTCTTTCCCCTATCCTTCCTAATTCCCCTTCTCCTTTAGACCTTTTCTTCCTATTTCACATTATCTATTACTCATTTTTGATCCTTATTTATACTTTCAGTTTCTCACACCAGAGAAACAATTCAGTATTTACACATGTGTGTCCTATTTATTTCACTTAAGTGTATCACCTCAATGTGCATCCATTTAGCTATAAATGTCTATATTTTCTCATTCTTTTGGGGGGGAGGTATTGGGGATCACACTCGGGACCTTGCACTTGCGAGGCAGGCAGTGGAACCACTGAGTTAAATCCCTGGCTTCTAGTTTCTCATTTGGTATGTCTGAGTAGTACTCCCTTTTATAAAAAATACCACATTTTCTTTTTTCTTTTTTCTTTCTTTTTTTTTTGGTACCGGGGATCGAACTAGGGTCCTTGCGCTTGCGCAGCAGGAGGCAAAACCACTGAGCTAAATTCCTGGCCCAATACCATATTTTCTTTATCCAGTCTCCAGTTGATTGGCAATTGGGATATTTCCAAGTTCTAGCTATTAGAAGCTGTGCCACTGTTTTGTGTTTTTCTTAAATGGATACAAAATATGCTGTTGCCTACTATTTGTTAAAAGTAATGATCAATCTCACAAATACTTAAATGATGCATTAGAAACCACTCTTCATATGCCATTAATTTTTGGATCTTTTAATATACCTCATATTTCTATTTTATCTACAAGGAGATTATGAAATTTGATAACTACACTATTGTGGAAATCCTTCATAACACCTATAGGTAATCATGAAATGGCAGGTTTTTTATTGTGTGTGTTGGTGAAGTAGAGGCAGTAATAGCTAAATGCTTGTGTATAAACATGAACTTGGGGATAAGAGCTAAGGCCTATAGCCTGCATAAGATGTAAAATGAGAAGTGAGATTTCTATATAAAGCCTGTAATGAACTATATCCCCCAAAAGGAGAGATCAGAATCTTCCACTCACTGGCCCAGAAGAACTGTAGGGAAATTTATTCTTGACCCCAATTCTGCATAAAAGGAAAAACTCATAATGAGTCAATACCCCAACTGAAAACTTTCAGATTTTTAATACAAGTTTAAACCACTTATGTAGTGCTAGAAAAGCTCTATGTTTTTAAAAAAAAGTCAAATTAATTCTTGGCCAGTGATATCATAGTGATACACCTGCTAGAAATAAATGCAAAATCTTTCTTAGTAAGACAAATTGCACAAAGGCCTTTACAACAAAATCAAGGACTATTGAACTGGGGCTATAGCTTATTGACTAGGAAGCACAAGGCCCTGGACTCAATCCTCCTTAGGACAAAAAACAAAGAAAAAGGAATACTTAAGATAAATTCATAATTTTTAAAATACAGAAATAACAAGGTATGAAGCTACCAACCACAGTATATATTAGGAGCTACCATAAACAGCAAGATTGGAATGCCAAGAACCTTCAATAATCAGAAAAACCACAAGATCATGTTTTAAGTGATTAAAGAAATCAAAGAAGGTGTAGCAGACTGAAGGAAACAAAACATTTAATAAAACAGATTTTTAAAAAATCAAATAGAACTTTTATACATGAAAAATATCATTGAAATCTGTCTCAATCACTTTCTTTGCTGAGACAAGATATCTGACACAACTTAAAGGATGAGAGGTTTATCTTGACTCATATTTGTCATCACAGTTGGCAGCTCCACAGTGGAGCAGCAGGGCAAAAGCCATAGTGAGATAAAAGCTGTTCACATCATGGCAGCCAGGAAGCAATGAGAAAAACTGAGAGCCAGGACCCTTCCAGGTCGTGCTCCCAGTAACCTGCCTCTTCCAACCAGACCCTACCTCCTAACAACAAGTTGGCTATATTCTCCTTATGATTCAGGTTCCAAAGCCCCAACTAGGAGTACATGAGGCCCTCGGGGAACGTTTTTGAAAAAATTAGTACATGTCTGTAGTACGTAATAATTACATTCATCCTGTGAAGTTGGTACATGCACATAACACATCTTAATTCTTTTTATGTCTCTTTCTTCCCCGTGTTACTTTTCTCGTTGCTGAGACAAAATACCCAACACCCAAAGTTAAAGAGAGAAAAGTTTATTTGTCTTAAAGTTTGTAGAAGTTTCAGTCCATAATCAGCTGGCTCCAAGGCAGGATGTCATGGCAGACAGGCATCACAGAGGAAAAACAGTTCATGGTGGCCAGAATGTAACAAAAGCAACAAGGGACCTTAACAGTGTCTTTCCGTCCCTTTTATCTTATTCAGACTACCAGGATTAGGATGGTGCCACACCACTGGGTCATGGGTAGTGGTTTATTAATCACATGTCCTTAATCCTAGCTCTAGATTGAACCATCTATGACCACATGAGGCTTTCTGGGGACATCTAGACCCAAACCGTAACACCCTCCCTTTTCTCCTTCCTCCCTCTGCCTCTTGGTAGGGGATATCCTTGATCTAAACCATAACAAAATAATAAATCATTGAGTAAATTAAGTAGGCCTGGTACAGAGCTAATTACTGCAGTTGTAGATGGATTTGATGTCAGTGGAACATCTTTAAAGTACTGAGAGGAAAAAAAAACTGCCAACACAGAATTCTTTATCCAGGGAAAATATCTTCAAAAAATGGAAGTAAAATAAAAACTCAGAGATTTTTTTAAAAATGCATGAAAGAATTCATCATACATAAACTTGCACTAGAGAAATGTTAATGGAAGTTCTTCAGGGAAAGTGATGCCAAAGGAAAATAGGCATTTTTGAAAAGAACGAAGAGTGCCAAAAATAGTGACCATAAGGGTTTTTTTTCTTATTATTATAATATTAGCACCAAACAAAGAGGTAAGGAGAAATGGAATTATACTATTGTAAGGTTCTTATGCTATATGTGAAGTATTATGTCATGTCACTTAAAGAAGTAAGTTAAAGACATATACTATTAACCTTAAAACAACTATTAAAGAAAAAAATCAAAGTGTTACAGCTAATAAGTGAACTAAGATAAAGTAAAATCATAAAATAATTCACATCATTTAAAAAAGAGAAAAAAAATAGATGGAAAATAGAAAGCAAATAGCAAGATGATAGATTTTAAACCTAACAGTGTCAATAACACATTAAATATAAATGGTCTAAAGTCACAAAAAAGACAGAGAGTATTTGACTGAGGAAAAAAAACACAAAAAACAAGACCTAAATGTAGCCCACAGGACGCTTATTTTAAAATACAAGTAGGTTAGAAGTAAAAGGGTGGTGGAGATGAATTTTGTGTTATGTGAATTTTCTCTGAAAAAAAGAAATTAGTAATGCCAAAACCAAAGATGTTACATATACCTTTCTGGAGACAGTCCTTCCTAGGGTGTGTTGTCCACACCCAGAATTAAGCTAATTCAATGTAGTTGGGCATTTCTTACTCAAGATGACACAATTAACTGTCAGCATTGGCTAAGGAAGAAAATTCGTCTATCAGTCAATGTAGAAAAAGCCTTTGATAAAATCCAATTCATAATTAAAAACTCAGCAAACTAGGAATGATGGGAAACTTCTTCAGCTTTATAAAAAATCATCTATAAAGCCATATAGTTGAGCCAGGCATGGTAGTGCAACCTATAATCCCAGTACTTGGGGAGGCTAGAGCAGGAGGATCAACCTGAGTTCAAGGTCAGCCTGAACTACAAAGCAAGACCCTGTCTCAAAAAAAGATCCTATAGCTAACATCATACTTAATGATGAGGCAACAGATGCTTCTCACCTATGATCAGAAACAAGGAAGGCAATGATTTCCCTCTCCCTGCTCATATTCAAGAAGCCAGACTTCAATCCCAAGTTTTCTTATATGAATTTCTGAAGCTTAGTGATAAGCATTATTGTTAAAGCTTTTTTTCTTTTCTTTCTTTTTTTAAAATTTTTTTTAGAAAGTTAACATCTCCTTTCTCTTTTTTTTTTTTTTTTAAATTTAAAAAAAATTCTTTTCCCAGTACAAAGGATCAAACTCGGGACCTTAAGGTTGCCAGGCAGGTGCAGCACCACTGAGCTATATCCCTGGCCCCTTCAAAGTTTTATTTTTGAATAAAAGAATTCTGTCACTTTCGAAAGAGTTGTGCTTTGAGTATCCCTCCCCACCCCCGCTTCTCCCTCTGGTAGTCATAGAAAGCCTGACAATGAGAAAGAGAACCAAGTTTGCAATAGAGACTAGAGTTATGATTCTACCTTTGACACTCCTTTGTTTTGTAGCTCCAAGCAAGCCCCTTAACATTTCTAGCCTCTTTGTCTCCTCTGCCACATGAATGCCACTCAAAAGACGAAACCTCTTTATCTTCTAGGGCTACGGTCATCCTCTTGGACTTTGAAAGTGACAGAACAAAGGCCAAAAGTCCCTTTTGGAGAGTGAGGTGCTAAGTACCACTTTCTACTTGAAATAGACTTGAATGCACTTGGACCCTTAGAGGGTTCACTTTTGTTCTGTTGGTGATGGAACTTGAACATTTATGACCCAGACATGAAAAGACCTTAAGGAATTTGTCCAAAATGTTACATCTTTAAAAGACTACAATTTGATCATGATGGTAGCCAATACCTTGAAAGGCATATTGTGGAGAGGTCATAATATTATTGCGTCCTTATCCCCTTGTATTCTCCATGCTTCAAATATTATATTTTAAAACATTAGGCATTTGTAGAAATATCTTGTCCTGTGGGTATTCACTATGGTTCTGATTATATTGTGTGGCAGCTGGTATAAAAGAGCCAGCTTGCTAAAGTCAGATTTGCTATAAATTCAGAAATCACCCACTTTGCAGGGTCATTACAGTAGAGAGAGAGGATACATTTACGTACCTGGTACTTGTTAGACACTCAGAAATTGGCAGATGGTATTATTGTCAATGCAGTTGCATTTATCCCTCTTTACCAGTGATGCCGAACCTTTTAGAATTTTCAGTGATAATAAACAGCTGGCTTCAGCACCTGTGCCATAGTTTCGTCACTACTGTTCTATGCTAACTCTGCTTGGTGGTCAAAATAGGAAAGTATTGTCTTTGTCATCCTCCCACACTCTTGAGTTTTTCTCTGCCCTACCTGAGTGCTAGCCAAGTGGGAGGATGTCCCTCTCCAGTCAGCTATGGTCAGTGACCATAGGCCCCATCACCTCACTGCCTAGAATTGTGTAATAATAAGAAAGCAAATATCCTCTTACCTGGTTTCATTTGGTAGAAACCATGGGACCAAATTACTTGCCCTCATTGTGCCTTACTTTGCCCATACAAAAGTAGCAAGATAAGCTAGAAGGCATAGTTCTTTCCAACTCTGAAATTAATGCAGGAAATATGTAATGAATAACTCTAAGAAATTTGCTTTCATTATATAAATAATGAAACATAAGGTATATATTGTATACTATATACCTTGACATAAGGGATATTTTATTCTCTTCATCATTGTGTCCTCCTTTCTAAGCATTTCATTTCTGATAGCTGTCCATCTAGAATTTTGTTAGGAATTTATAAAACAGACTTCACCAAAAGAACAATATGCTCTTTACCTGTTTTGGAAGTACACATAAACTGACCATAGTGACTGTATTATAAATGTTATTCCTAATGTTTTGGGGTCACAGTGGGTTTGGTACTCTCAAGTGCCCTAGCATGTTGAGGGAAGTGGCCCAGGGCCTTGAGTAGGTCCTCTGACAGGCAGCAATTCTTGAATTGGCACAAGTGGGGAGCACTGGGAAGAGATAAATCATTTAAAAAAAAAAATATATATATATATATATATGTATATAAATAAACTGCATGGGCAAACCCCCACCCATCATGAGAGCCAGTATTCTGCCCTGTCGCTAACAGCCTACACCGTCAGTCTTCCTGGGGTAGAAGAAGAGGTGCACATATCTGTTCAGGCCACACTTCCAACTTCTCTGAGGATGCTCACTTTATAGGTTGTCTTTTTGTCTCTTGGTTTTCAGCACATCAGAGCAGAGTGACGATGATCCTGTTTGTCCTGGAGCTGGAGTGGGTGCTGAGCACCGGACAAGACAAGCAGTTTGCCTGGCACTGCTCTGAGAGTGGGCAGCGCCTGGGAGGTTATCGCACCAGTGCCGTGGCCTCAGGCCTGCAGTATCCTTTGCTGGACAAAATTCTGTGGTGAAAACTTAGCTGTTGACTTCTTTGATTCATGAAAATTTTAGGTATGTGCAGTTTGAGATGTTTTTATTATGTATGCTGAGTTGCCCTGTGTGATTAAGATTTTCATAGAATATTCTAATGCACAAGTCATCCAGGGCTCCCATCTAAGTTGAGTAAAATGAATTAACTGCACCTTCCATAATAGACCCTACTGAGCAGGTTGTGGGTCTACTGAGAAACAGTTGTGATGTTTAGACAGAACACAGCCCAGATTTATGAGCATCAGCTATCAGAAAGAATTATGGTACCATCTCCAAAACACAACCTTTGATTTTTGTACGCAAATAATTTACAAATAGATGATAAGGTTAAAACATTCCATTGGTGCCTGGAAAAAAACCCAGCAGCTTACTGTTCATTTTTTTAAAAAATATTGAGAGGTTACCATGCGAGGACCAGAGTGGGTTAGCTGGTATCTGCCTGGTAATGTTCAAGCTTTGTTTCAGCCATGAGACTTTTCCAGGATTTGTAAAGTGACATTCTTTTCTCCCAAGTTGCCAGGTCCTTGTGCTTAGGGTGAGCCCCTGTAATGTTCAGCGATCCTCACTTCTGCCCACCTGGGCTTCAACAAGCATAGTGTCATATCGTGTTAAGCACATGTCATGATGTTCCCATTGCAAGGAGTAAAAGACCTTGGCATTCTTAGTTTTACAAAGTAGAATCTGTACCTTTTGAGGCTTGAGAAGGTAGGTAGAAACAGATCACTTGCCAGCAAATACAGGAAGAAGTAGTAAGTCCTGTTGTTAATTTTCATCTCTGTACTTATAAAGTGCCTAGTGAGTCAACAATTTGACGAAGTACATTGCAATTTCTTTGCAAATATGTGGTAGTGGTTATATTTGTGTGTATGTGTATAGGCTAATCCTTTCTTTTTCTCACTGGAAGGACAAAGTAAAGAAACTAAGAATGACCATTTGGAAGGTTGTAAAAGAGGCAAGTTACCAAGAAGATCAGAGGCAAGGATGACAAGGAATGGAAAGCAACATAAACTCCAAACTTTACTTTCTGAAAGCCAGTTCAGATGAGCATAATTCTTGAATTAAAATACATGAATTCTCATGCCAACAGCTTAATTATTTCTTATAGTGTTAGAGCTGGAAGAGCCCTTAGTCTTTACCTTCTCTCTTGATCTATTCAAGTTGCGTTAATGAATTACCATAAATTCAATGGCTTATATACAACAGAAATTTATTTCTTATAGGTCTGGAGGCTCGGGATTCTAAGACCAAGGTGCCAAAACAATCTGTATCTGGTGAAAGCTAGCTTCCTGGTTTAAGGATGAAAATCATCTCACTGTGTCTTCACATAGTGGAAGGGGCAAGGGACCTCTTTGGGGGTGTCTGACAAGGGCACTGTATCTTTTTTTTTTTTTTGGTACTGGGGATCAAACTCAGGGTCTTGAGCTTGCGCTTTTGAGTCAGGCAGCACCGCTGAGCTAAATCCCTGGCTCTCTTTGGATTTTTTTTAATCTCATTTTTCCTTGAACTAGGAATTAGTTCTAGAAAACTAAGAACATGACCTGTGAATATTTTTTTTTAACTGCATGTCCTTTTATTGGTACATTTTAGGTATACAATATAATGACATTCATCATGGGAAATTTGCACCTTTACATACTCTCTTGGTTCTTATTTTTTCCCCCTTCCCCTGCCCTCCCTTCAACCCCTCCAT